TTTTTTTTTTTTTTTTTTTTTTTTTTTTTTTTTTTTGCTTCTAGTATTCTACTAAGTCTTTCTCTTTGTTCCTTCTTCGTGTGTGCGTTAGTTTGCTGCTTGCTTAAATCAAGATTCTTGTCTAATCATGTTGTTGATTCACTTAATGATCTTTGTTATTATGAATATAAATACTATGCTTACGAATTGTGATCAGATATTAGATTTTAATTAGAGTTTTTGGGTAAAAGAGATGTCAAGATTTTGCTTTTAGATTGGAAAGAAACTTTAGGATACGAAAGATCATGCAAGAAACGTGAATTGAGTTCATCCTCGTAATTGTTTAATCTATTATTAAATCATAGTCATTAGTGACATAACACAATAACGTAAACGAGTCAGGTTCTTCCTTTTGTCGTATGTGAGTGAGTCCTTGTCTTAACAATTAAGTTCCATTATCATTGAATAATAACGCCATAGCGGGCCGCATATGGGCCTAAATGTGGGTCCACTTAACATTCAATGGACCTGCGACATCCGGTCTGCCTGAGAATTCCACGCGCATCGGAAGCACGTTTCTATTACGCGTTTGGTCTTCTTTGGGTTTCAAGAGAATCTGGCCATTTTAAACCAAACCAACTAACTGAAAGAGAGGTTAGCTTAACCGGATACATTATGCGATCGAGATATCTTAGAAATGAAAACTATACTATAACAAGGATAAATAGACTAGCAACCAACTTATTCCGTGTCACCAATCCAATCATTGTCGGTTACGTGTTTATAAATATGTTTGGACCTTTGTCTTTTACTTATTATTCTCCTCTCTTTGCTAATGTCACATTTGTCAGGGCTGCTCAAAATAATTATAGATCCTACTCTTCTCAACTACTTCTAGTTTTGTTTACAATTCATGGAATTATAAGACTTCCAAGTTCCAATCATTGGACATATACTCCACTGATTTTTTTTATTTTTCTTGTAACTTTACTCCATTGATTTTCCTAGTTAGCTAAAAGTTAAAGCATTAAAAAATTTATCTAGGAAGTTGTGTTTCTAGCTAGTGTTTGATCTCAGTTTCAATTCCCAAATATTTGCCTTGAGTCCAACATTCATTCAAAAATTTAGGTAAGGTAGGAATAGGGTACTCATTTTTGCAAAATATTTGCATAAATACATTTTTACATTTAAATTTTTTTTTCAAAAATTCAGGTAAAGCGAGGTGGGATAAAAAAGAGATTTTATATGTTTATCTAACATAACAAATTTAAATATAAGTAAGCCTCTTACTCCAAAAAAAAATTAAGCATATATTTAAATTGTGCTTTCTGTTAAGGAATTAGAATGTAAGCATTATAAATTCAACAAAACTGTAAAACTATAACCTTGTCCAAAAGAAAAAATCTTGTAGGATTCTATATTTGCCCAATATGAAACTAATTCACACATCACAACAAAATATGGTTCTGTCTTCTTTTGTAACATCATCGTCACACCCTTAACGGCGTAGGTCCATGTACAGAGCATCTGTTTATGTGGTTAAACAGGAGCTGCCCATTTAAGCAGAGTTGTGATATTTTTGTGTTTTAAATGAAAACACAGAATAAAACCATGTGCTTTAAGAATCTTTCTCACTTTCTCTATCCTTTTATAAACACCATGCCTTCGGCTACTTCTCTTCACCATCATCATCATTACAGTGCTTCCTTATCTCTATACCCTTTGAAACAAAAAAACAAAACTCCTTCTGTTCTATTTATCACCATTTTTCTAAGACAACACATCAATCCCTATCTTTAATAGAACCAAAGATGCTACAGATTGTAGGCAAGTATCGGTGGAGACAATCATGTCGTTACAAGAAGCTACCGAATCAACATGAGAACTTGACTACATTGCCACCAACAACAACAAGGTCAACTAAAAGACAGAACTCAGGGAAGAAGAACGAGATTCGAGCAAAAGGGTTTAGACTAAACCGATCAAGAAAGCTGGTTCTTAAGGCATTAGCATTTCCTAGAAGGTTATGTAACATGTATGTTCGTATCACAAATAAGATGAATAGAGAAGGTTTATATCCTAATCTTGTTTTTTCTTCTCATTGGGGTTTCCCTCTGAACTCAAGAGGTGGGTTCTGTTAGAGATAACATGTCTGATCTCATAAATGAATGATACATAGAAATGTGAAGACAATGATTACATCAATTATTGTATAATGTTCTTGTAACTTGCCATGTTTATTGATTTGACGAATAGTGGAAACAGAGTTCAGAATCTCTCTCTTTCCTTATGAGTTCAGCTGAGCAAGTAGATGAGTGTGATTCTATTATATCAATCTTGGTGAAAATTAGGTCAAGATGGTAAAAACGATTGCTTCAAGAATTATCAATGCATTCTATTATTTGTTTCAAAATGTTTAAAGAAATATAGACACCAAGAATCTTCTTATTGAAACTGGTCTCATTGTAATCAGTGGAACAAAAAAACGTTTAAAAAAAATATCTACAAAAATTACTAGCATTCTTTGCTTTTTGCTTAGTAGTTTACATTTTTATGTTCATTATTTGCATATTATTATTACAATATTAGGTCTTGTCTGAAACCTATATTTATTTCTTGGCTGGGAATTTTCCCTTAACCTTCTGAATCACCTGTGCTTCAACACCGAACGCCTTGGCAAGCAAGTCATCAGGAATAGGAGGGTTAGCACCAAACAAAGACGGTCCAACACTTTGAGTCCCAGGATTCTGACTATCAAAAGCAGCGATCACGGAGGCAGGAGCATTGTTAGGGTTCTGCTGGAAATGTAAGAGAGCTCTAGGGAATACAAAGACGTCTCCCTTGTTAATGTGTTTGGAGATGAGTTTTCCAGTGGTGGTCAAGAAGCCAACGAAGAGACGTCCTTCGAGGACGTATATGGCTTCAGAAGCTCGTGGGTGAAGATGTGGCGGGTTGAGTCCACCTGGTGCGTAGTCGATACGAGACATGGATGTACCCATCATGTTGAGGCCAGGGATTTTCTCAACGTTGCCTGCTGTAACGGCTGACCCCGTTGCGGTGTTGGATGTGTCTGCAGGAGCGGCTAAGCCTATGTAATAGAAGTCCTCTGGTGTTACTTGTGATGGGTCTTTGCATGCGTATCCGTTTACTTTGGTACCTAATAATTAATGACAAAAGTCAACGACAAAAAAAAACTATTGAAACTGTTTGCAAGAATATAAATGTTAGATCAAGAAAGAGAGATACCTTTGAGATCAGCAACACAAAGATCTTGAAGCATGTTTGTTTCGGCGAAGGCCGTGTGGGCGGCCACAAGCAAGATGGTAACAAAAAGATGGGCCATGGAAGTTGTCATTGTTTGTTGTTGTTTAGAAATGTTATTGATGAATTTCAGATGACCATTTGACCTTGTTTCTCAATTTATATATATTGTTTAGAAGAGAAACTAATGGAGAAGAGATATATATGGAGGGATCATAGGCTTCTTAATCAATTTTTTTGCCATAATTAGGTTTAGGTGTTCTGATGATTGGTTAAGATTTGGTAAGGAAAAGGAGGCTTGTTTGTTGGAGACATCAACTAGCCTATAGCTATAGGATGACCTGATACTTACCCATAAAATCACACCGTTAATCTAACTATATTAAAAGGGCGATATGAGAGCCAAAGAAGTTGTCCACGTATGCAAATATAATCAACCAATTATAAAGTTCCGTATTGCCACGTCATCCTTGCTAGGTATTACGATTGGTTTGGTCGTCTTCTCCGCTTCCATTACCCTTCTCTCCCAATCTGTTTCAGTGAATTACTTCACCACTAACTTCGCCACTACTCTTCTCTTCCATGGCGACTCTCGACAGTGGCATCTCCAGAGATGTTATCTCCGATCAAGAACATCGTGGGTCTGGTGCTATTCATGTTATCATGGGTCCTATGTTTTCTGGGAAATCGACCTCTCTCTTCCGCCGTATCAAGTAGGAGATCAGCCTCGGAAAGTAAAACAACAATCACCATCGCAAGAGTCAATGGCAGAGAACCGCCAAATGAAACGGCAGAGCCCCACCGCTTTGTTCTTCGATGACTTAGCTCCAGGTTTGGGAGATTTAGAGTTGCAATTCCGTTTAAACCACTTCGGGAAGCACAAAGCACAGCGAATGGTGGATTCCTTATTGGTCTTGAGCTTCGTCTCATCAATGATCAGGTTATGAAAGTACTGTTAACAACTCTTCAGATTTTCCATTTTGTTTCCTTCCCTACAGTCAGTGTTATTACTTTTTGAATCTGCAGAGAAGGTAGATGGAGTGATACAAACAAAGAGAGCACTCTACAAAGATTTAACTAATTAGTTATCAGAAAAAAAAAAGATTTAACTGGTCAATCAGACCATTCCAGCCTTTGTTGCTTCTATAGCAGTTCAAAAGGGGCTGGAGCTGCTATTCCTTCTGTGGAGTAAGCACTAGAAAAAACTCAAGAGTTGTATAAGGTAGTGTTGAGATGCTGTTCTTATTTTCATAGTACCATTACTTCCTCTGCATGATGAGTTAGCTTTGTATTATATTTTAGGTTTTTTTTTTCGGTCCAAAGTATGCATATTCACAATTAATATGAGCAAAGATAAGTTTCCTTTTACGTGAATACAAATTTGATGGGCAAGAGAGCATAGGTCGAGATTGCTCGCTGATATATATGTTCCTGTTAAATTCCAATGTTTTTTTGCATGTTATTACATTGGCAACAACTGTTTCTAAGACTAAAGCAGAGCCACATTTTCAATATGCACCAGTGAAGACTTTGGCATGAGATAAGGAGCAATACAAGAGCAAGTAAGGTGTAGCTTTGTGAATGAATGTTTTAACATACATGCTATGTGATATTGGTATGTGATTGGTGAGGTGTGGGTGCAGGAACTAATGAATAAGGAATTTAAGACGCATACGATGGAGCACAGGCCAAAGAAAATGAAGAAACCTAAAGGAGGAGAAGAGAAGAATGTGAAAGTAGAGGATGTCAATGGTGGGGAGGATGAGGTCATGATGGATGATTTACTGGAAGTTTGAGAGGGAGGAGATGGAAACGGCAAGGGAATGTGCACTAATACAGTAACAATAATAGTTCAAAAGAGTGTCAACAATTCAAAGAACAAGAGTAGAAACATGAAATCAAAAGATTTTTTATCTAATTTGCAGCTTGGTCCAATACATTGTCTTTAAATGAGACTTTTTGTGGTTTGATATTGGCCATCTAGATTGAAATCAAGACTCTTTTTATTCTTTGTTGTAGCTAGGTTTATCCTGAGCAACCCAGATGTTGTAGAACGTGTTTACACTATGGGAACTGAGATAATGAACAGGGCTAAAGTAAACTGTATCCAGTGCAATTGGGCAGTAAATGTTGTAAGTAAGCTTTGTTTTTTATATATACTTTTTTTTGTTGAATTGATAGTCTTAACGTTGGAATGTATCAGCGGGTGGATGATGATCAATGATCAAACATATCAGAGAGTACATTTGGTTAGATTAATGGAAGTGCCCTTGATATTATTTTAATTTTGCTTTCAGGTAGAGGAAATGCAGACAGACAAAAAAGAGTCTTACCTCTGTTCTTTCCGGAGAATGAGAACTTGGAAACCTCTGCCACTTCAATTTATGAGGATACTCTTCAACTGAACGTGGTGATAGATTCCATTTTTCAATCTGGATAATAGTAATTTAATTTTACACATGCGGAAGACCGTATTTCGAACCACTGGCATCAATCATTATCATTATATGGATATTTATAATTTGTACAAAGCAATCAACCACCATCCCTTATATTAATTGGTAGTGTATAAAAGAAAAATAAGTTGGTCAATCTCAATATATAATAATTTTTTATAAAATTAACTATGCAATTAATTGGTAGTGTATAAAAGAATATTTTTCATTATTTTCTTAAATAAAAGTTACAGAAATACCTAATACGATTAACAAATATATGACAATTAATGATTTCGAATAATAAAGATTTGACAACATTTTTTTTTCTTCCATCATTTTATTAATTTTATAATCTTAAAATAAATTAAACAATCATATTAGTAATATAATAAAAATTTTAGATTTTTTCTTATATGCTACATTTTGAATTTTTTAAAGGATTATAAATTACTAAAATTGTTAAAATTCAACATTGAAATTTTTGTGATCAATGATTTAACTTTTTGTTTTAACAAAATACAAATGATCATAAAATCGTATAAATATGAAATCGCTTTAATATATATTGAGAATAAATAAATAAATATATTTATACATATATATATAATACATAAAAATGTTAATTTCTAAATTTGCTTTAAGTAGGAAGCATCGATTAATAAATATTCATATAAATAAAAATAAGATTTGTTACAGTAAATATAAAAATGTTAGTTAAATCATATGAGTACAAACTTCAATCAACAAATATTTATATTAAAATCTATTATATAACTGTGTTAATATCATTTAAGTTTAATAATATACCATATAAAATAAATAATTAATTATTTTTTACCAACAAAACAATATTGTAAATACAAAGAGGGATGGTTTTTATTTATGTGTTTACTCCAGTTTAACTATATATAATCGTTACTCGATTCTCAATTGTTCAATATATTTTTACTGCATAATACGTAAATGAACATAAAATAAATAATAGTATGTTGAAATAATTTGTATACATAACTAATGTTAATACTGCGCAAGTGCAGCTAGGGGTCGAAGGAAGGTGCGAAGACTAGGTTCCCGATCGACTTCATTCGCTTCAGTGACATAGTGAACAAGAAAGTCCTGGTGTTTAGTCAATACATCGACACTCTAGAGCTGATCAGGGACAACCATAAAATATATTTCTAATATATTTCAGTTACACAATGAACGAGAAAGTCTTGGTGTTTAGTCAATACTTTATTTTATGAGTATAAATATATTTAAAATTTATAAATATTTGAATTATGTTATTATATTATATTTTATCTGTATAATTTACCAAATGTGTATACTCCCTCCGTTCTATAATATAAGATGTTCTAGAGAAAAATGATGTTTCAAAATATAAGATGTTTTGATACTTTTAAGGTACTTTAACTTTATAGAAAACCGGTTGACCAATAGTATTTTAGTTTATTATTTATGATTGGTTAATTTATTTTAAATTTATACTATCAATGATGTTATCTTTTAAAAAGTTAAGTTTCTTAATTCTTGTGCTTTGGATAAAACATCCTATATTGTAGAACGGAGGGAGTATAAGTCTAGGGGCTTTCAAAGTCTTGGTATTTCTAATATACTTTATTTTATGTGTATAATTTTATCAAATGGGGTTGTTCAAAAAAAAAAAAAAACCACTAATTCAAATGGGACATAAACACCAAATTTGGTGTAATCTCATCCCCAATGGAATACCATAAATGACACTATCCCACCAAATTTGGTTTAAGGTGAATAGTGTTACATCAAAATTAATGTAACACTATTCATCACACCAAATATTTTATATACATATTTTATTATGTTTCATTTAATAGTATATTCTAACTATTATTATTAAATTTGTAGCCAAACACAAATATATTTTATTGTTTGTATTTAAAATTATTTTAACATAATTACAATATTTTATTTTTTTTAAGTATAAAATTCACTAAATGACTATAATCATTGACTTTATATTTTAAAAAATAAACTATCATAGAAATTTTAATCAATAATTAATACATAATTAATAGTTATGTAATATAATTTCGAATATAATTAATAATTTATATAAAATAAATACATAAAAAGTATAATATTGTTAAACGAAAAATATAAATGTAAATAAATTTATCAATATAAAATTATAAAATCAACAAATATAATATTTAAGTGTGATAAAAGAATTATTTATCAATTAAATATAATAAAAATACAAAATTATTCAAAATAAACATCAAAGAATTTTAAAATTACTTTTGGTGTAATATTTTATATCATGGTTGGAGATGACAAAACAATTGATACCAAAATGGAAAATTTTGTGTAATTTCAATACCAAATTTAGTGTTATTTTTATTTTTTTATGACAAACAGCCGAAATACAAACAATAACATAAAAACTTACAAAATTACAATTATTAATCAATATATTAATTGTGTAATACAACCATAAAATGAATTAGAAATATATATATATATAAAATATACGAGATAAATAAGACTATTTAAAGAGATAAAATTATACTCATAAAATAAAGTATAATAACATAATTCAAATATTTATAAATTTTAAATTTAAAGTATGTAATCCGCGCGTAGCGCGGAAAAAGGATCTAGTCTCTAATAATTGTGTTAAAAAAAATCTCTAATAATCACCAAACGAAAAATGATTAAATGAAGGGATGACGATTTTACTTGTTTGGTAATAAAACTCAAAGAGTTTTTTTGGTTCAATTAAATCCAAACCGGGCCGTCTGCTTTGATAACCAAGCGGGAAGGCATGGTTATATTGCTACCAAAATAAAGCCAGAACCTTAACCGGCTAAAACAAAGAAATAAACCAATGTTAAACTTTTCTATTCATGCATTTGCGTTATAGTTTTCATGTCAAGTTTTGTCGTCGCAACATGTGATCGTTAAGCCCACGTTTTCTTGTAGTGTACAATTTATATGTCAGTCACGACTAGTTTTTTATATTATGATGTTTTTTATATGATATGTATCTTTGTTCTTGTTTCTCCCTCCACTGCTTGTACTTAGTAGCTCATTTGATGCTTGTCTCATAAACACCAGTCTCAGATGAATTTCCCATAAGCATGTGAAATGTGAAACAAAAGATTCATAGACCTTTCCTGATCTTCAAACTGAAGCACATTGCCATGAGGCTTCACTCTAGCTGTCTGTCTAGTGGATCTTTTCAACGATTCATTTAGGCCCATTAACTTCGTTGAGCCCATTATAGTTTTGAGCTAATTCGTAAATTGATACACTTGAAAGATTGGGGTTCTGATGGAAGATAAAATGTGGAGGGAGGGATCATTGTTACAAAAGAATAGAAACATAAACAAGTGGGCGCCGCAGCGTAAGATCAACATGTGGTGATGTTAACGAGACCGAGACCGTATTTTCTCGTTCTCCCATGCACACTTTGTCTTTTATGATTCTTTTTCTTGCGCATTTTCAGTTATTCTGGGTTGAACTTTACAGAATCCATCAGTTCAAAAAACTTTACAAAAACCCATCAACATAAACTATATACAACCAACATTAATGAAATATATAAACTACTTAATGTTGGTTATTCGGGTTGTAACCCAGAAATTTGTGAATTATATACTTGGATAATGATTGAATCGCGCACGAGGTCACTTTCCTTAAAGAGTATTTCGACCCTATTCCAAGCCTTTGGGTTACACGAAATCCCTTTGTAGGATAAGACAATCAAAGTCACATTCTTGTTCTAGGCTAAGATACAAGAATAACAAATAGAG